GAGAGAGAGTGTGAGGGGAGGGGAAGGGAGAGGGGGTGAGGGAAAGAGAGGGGGGAGGGGAGGGAGGGAGTGGGAGGGGGAGGGAGGAGAGGGAGGAGAGGAGGAGGGGGAGAAGAAGGGGAGGTGGAAAAGAGCGGGGGGGAGAGGAGGGAGTGGAGGAGGGGAGGGTAGAGGGGTGGGAGGGGAGGGAAAGAGAGGGTGGGGAGGGGGAGGAGAAATAGAGGGCATGGGAGGGGAAGGGGAGAGTGCAGATAAAAGGGAGGGTGGGGGAGGAGAGGGGGAAGAAAGGTGGATAATGGAACGAAGGGAGAAAGAGGGAATAGGAAACGGGCAGGGGAAAAGGGGGTTGTGGGAGGGAATAGAGAGGGGGTGGGAGGGATGGAGGGATGGGGGAGGAAAAGAGGATAAGGAAATAGAGGGAGAAAGGGGTAAGGGGGGAGAGAACAAGAAAAAAGTGAGGGTGGTGGTGAGGGAAGGAGAAAGAATGATGGGTAGGGGATGAAGAGAGTGGACAAGAAAAAGGGAGATGAGGAAAGGAAAAGAAAGGGAGAAGAGAGAGACAAAGAAACAGGGAATTGGAGGAATAAATTTCGAAAGGGGGGAGGGGGGAAAGGCAGAGAAAAGGGAGGGGGAAGGGAGAGAAAAGGGAGAGGAAATTCCGGAAGGGGGGGGGAAGGCTGAGAAAGGAGGGGGGAAGGGAGAGGGAAAAAAGAGAGGAAATTTCGAAGGGCGGAGAAAAGAGAGGGGGAAGGGAGAGAAAAGGGAGAGAAAAAATTCCGAAGGCGGAGAAAAGAGAGCGAGAAGGGAGAGAAAAGGGAGAGGAAATTCGAAGGGCGGAGAAAAAAGACGGGAGAAGAAAGAGAGAAAAAAAGGGAATAAAAGGGAAGAACAGACGAAGGAGAAACGAGGCAGTTCCTTTAATAATTACGTAATAACAGAGATCGCGATGATGGCCGCAACGAGGGGTAGGGGGACGGGAGGAGGGGAGGGGAGAAGGGGAGGGGAGGAGGAGGGGAGGAGAATAGAACGGCTGGAGGGGGAGGGAGGGGGGAGAATGGAGGAAGAGAAGAAATGGAGAAAAAAGGAAAAGGGTAAATGGAAGAAGGAAAAAATATCGGGAGGGGAAGGGAGAAGGGAGGAGGGGGGAGAATAGAAGGGGTGGGGGGAGGGAAGGGGAAGAATGGAGGAAGAGAAGAAATGGAGAAAAGGAAAAGGGTAAATGGAAGAAGGAAAATATCGGGGAGGGATAGGGAGAAGGGAGAAAGGAGGGGAGAATGGAAGGGCTGGGGGGGAGGAGGGGAGAATGAAGGAAGAGAAGAAATGTAGAAAAAGGAAAAGGGTAAAATGGAAGAACGAAAAAAAAAATCAAATTAAGAGAGACAACAGAGCAATGTAGGAAAGGAGGAAGAAGAAAGATGAAGAGGAGAGAAAAAGAAAAGGAGAGATGATAAAAGAGGAGAACAGAAGAAGAAGAAAAAGATAAAGTAAAGCGAGAAGAGAAAGAGAAGGAGAGAACTGACATAAGACAAGAGAAGTATATATAAACAACAAAGCAAGGAGAGAACAAAAGAGAAAACGAACTGACAAAAAACAAGACCAAATAGAAGAAAAAAAATAAAATAAAGAGAGAAGAGAAAGAGAACTGACAAGAGAAGGCGGAGAAAAATAAAATAAAATAAGGCCTTAAAAAACCGAAGAGGGGGGGATAGGCAGAGGGAGACGGAGGGGGGGGAGGAGGGGGCTATATGTTATCTATTTCTTGTAAGTTAGTTTGTTTCTGTCTTGTCGTCTGAAGGTCGTTTTGGTGAAGCTGTCTCGGTGGAAGGACTTTGTCAGCTGTAACTGGCTGCGGGGATTCGTGTGCGTGTGTGCGTGTGTGTGTGTGCGTGTGTGTGTGTGTGTGTGGGGTGTGTGTGTGTGCGTGTTGTGTGTGTGTGATGTGTGTGTGTGTGTGTGGGTGTGTGTGTGTGTGTGTGTGTGTGTGTGTTGTGTGTGGTGTGTGTGTGTTGTGTGTGTGTGTGTGTGGGTGTTGTGTGTGTGTGGGTGGGTGGGGTGTGTGTGGGTGGTGGGTGTTTTTGTGTGTATGTGTGTGTGTGTGTGTGTTGTGTTGTGTGAATAAATGGATTGATGAGTATCAGTAAAGGCGTGGATATATGTACACACATATATATATTATCTCTCTTCTCTCTTCTCTCTCGCGCTCTCTCTTTTCTCTCTTTCTCTTCTCTCCTCCTCTCCTTCCTCTCCTCTCTCTCTCTCTCTCTCTCTCTCTCTCTCTCTCTCTCTCTCTCTCTCTCTCTCTCTCTCTCTTCTCTCTCTCTCTTCTCTCTCTCTCTCTCTTCTCTCTCTCTTTTTGTCTGTTATATTTTCCTTTCCTTCCTCCTTTTCGTCTCTCATTCGTCTTTCATTCTCATTCTTCTTATTCTTATCATCATCTTTCATTCTTCGTCCAATCTTTTTTCTCATTTTTCTCTTCTTATTCCTATATTCTTATTCTTTTATCCCTTCTCTTTTTTATTCCAAATCTTATTCTTCTTTTTAGCCTTTCTCTTTTTCTTATTCCTATTCTTATTTTTCTTTTTTATCCTTTCTCTTTTTTATTCCAATTCTTATTCGTCTTTTTTAATTCTTTCTCTTATTTTCATTCCTATTCTTTTTCTTCCTTTCATCCTCTCTGTTAATCTCATTTCAATTCCTATTCCTATAATTATTTTCACACTTTCATTCCTATCCTCATTCTTATCAGTATTCTTATTCTCACATTTATTCTTATTTCGCTTCTTGTTCCCAGATTTATTGCATATTCCGTCATTTACTTCTCTCGCCACCTGTTGCTGCCTCTTTCCCCCCCCCCCCTCCTCCTTCCTCTCATCCTCCTCCCCCCTTCCCTGCCTCTCCTCACTTGCCTGCCCTTCGCTCAATCTTTGTGTTTATTTGTTTTTTATTTTCCTCAATCTCTATCTCTCTCTCTCTCGTTTTATCTATCTATCTATCTATCTTATCTTCTGTCTGTCTATCTTCTGTCTATCTATCTATCTGTCTATCTATCTATCTATCTATCTCTTCCTCTCTCTCTCTCTCTCTCTCTCTCTCTCTCTCTCTCTCTCTCTCTCTCTCTCTCTCTCTCTCTCTCTCTCTCTCTCTCTCTCTCTCTCTCTCTCTCTCTCTCTCTCTCTCTCTCTTTCTCTCTATCTATCTACCCATCTTCTTCTTCCTTCCCTTCCTTTACCCATTTTTCATTTCTTCCCTCTTCTTTTTTTATCCCCTTCCACCGTATTTCTAGACAATGAAAGCGTAACAAAACAAACAGAATAAACCCGTCATAACCGCCATTCTTCTCTCGCCTCTTCCTTTTCGCATTCTTTTTCCATTTCTTTTTTTTTTATCGTGTCTCACATTCCTCACTCTGTTTCCGTTTTCTGTCACAAGGCTTCACCCACAACTGCAGTAAAGATTTCATGTCATCTTTAACAGGCAAAGAAAAAAGAAAGAAAGGTGTTACTGAAACTATCAATGTGAATTTCTTGTATATTATATATATATATATATATATATATATATATATATATATATATATATATATTATATATATATATATGTATGTATGTACGTATGTATGTATGTATGCATATGTGTGTGTGTGTGTGTGTGTGTGTGTCTTTTTTTTTTGTGTGTGTGTGTGTGTGTGTGTGTGTGTGTGTGTGTGTGTGTTGTCTCTCATTTTCATCTATTTATCAACTCTATCATTCATTTATTGTTTTTCATAATCATTTCTAATTCAGAATTAATCTAGTTATCTAATCATTCTAATTTTTTTTTTTTTTAATACTATTTGGTTGTTCTGGAAAATAGATATATAATCCATAAAATACGTTTTTTTTTTTAATTTGAAAAGGTGAGAATGTAAAAGAAAGAAAAACAACGATAGCAATAAAATAATGAACAAAACTGAACAATATTATTATCATTTATCACCTCGAATATCCAACAATTTCCCGAGAATATACTAATGAGTAATCCCAAAACACAATTTCAGAATAAACAACAACCATCTTTTTAAAAATAATAATAATAATAATAACGTGACCAAAATCACCTAAAACCAAAATCCCAACACAATGTGAATCAATCCCAAGTGCCCCAAAAATAGAAAAAAATAGAAAAAAGGAAGAAAGAAGGAAAAGAGTAAAGAAAAATACCAACAAAAGAAAAATAAATAGAAAAAAGGAAGATAAAAAAATAGAAGAAAAAGAAAATACTAAAAAAGGAAGAGAGAGAAAAAATAAAGGAAAATACTAAAAAGGGAAGAGAGAGAGAAAAAAAGAAGAAGGGAAATAACAACAAAAGAGACACGAGTGAGAGAGAGAGAGAGAGAAAGGGTCGTCCTCGAGAGCCATGGCGGGCGAGCGAGTGTGCGAGAGCGAGGTGCGAGTGGTGAGATAGCTATCGAGGAAGAAAAGGTCCCTCAAGTGGAGAATAAGATGCCTTAGAGCCCGCCCCGGTGGCCTTGCGGGGGTCTGGAGACACTCGAGAGACACGGGGGCGGCAGAGGGGAGAGATAGGAAGGAGGGGAGACAGAGGGAACGGAAGGGTACGAAGGAGAAGGGGAAGGAGAAAGAGCCAAGGCGAGAGGAGGGATCGCGGATGACTTGAACATGCTCGTGCCGGACTCGACATGTCTGGTTCCTGTTCTCCCCGCGGTGCTTTGGACAGCGACCCTCCTGCTCCACCTCGGCCACGCCCTCACCTCCTCCCCGCCCCCTCCTGCGCCTCCTCCTGACCGCCACCACGACCCGAGGACCTTCCTGTACGACGGGGCGTGGGAGAGGCTCGCCCCCCACAACCACAGCCTCGCCCTTCCCCTACACAACCTCACCCTCCCCCTCCACCCGACCTCCCAACCCCGCAACACAGCCCTACAGACCCGACAACCCCCCCACCGCCCGTCCCCAACCCCACCCCCTCCTCCCGCCTTCCCCCCCCCCCCGGCCCCCACGCGGCCCCGGGACAAGCGCCTGGCCAAGCCGAGTCCCACGGGCGCCCTCAACTTCACGTGGCCGGCCAAGCGTGTTGGTGGTGGAGGGCGACGTGGTCCTGGGCGGCCTCATGATGGTGCACGAGCGGCACAACGACCTCGTGTGCGGCCCCATCATGCCCCAGGGCGGCGTGCAGGCGCTGGAGGCCATGCTCTACACGCTGGACTTCATCAACGACCAGGAGGACTTTATCCCCGGCGTGAGGCTCGGCGCGCACATCCTCGACGACTGCGACAAGGACACGTACGGACTCGAGCAGGCCGTCGACTTCATCAAAGGTCGGTGGCGGCGTCGGGCTTGGGGGGAGGGGGAGGGGGAAGGGGGGGAGTTGGGATTTTTTTTTTTTTTTTTTTTTTTTTTACTTTGGTCTTGTCTTTCTGCTCTTTCGCTCTTTTGTTCTTTCTCTACTTCGATTTACTGTATCTGAACGTATTTTTTTTTTTATATTTGTTTCTTTGTTTGTCTGCATCATGCTCTCTATCTCTCTTTCTTTTTCTCCCTCCCTCCTCCCTCCCTCTCTCTCTCTCACTCACTCACTCTCTCTCTCTCTCTCTCTCTCTCTCTCTCTCTCTC